CAAATGACATCTCAAAGACATTCATGCAAATTTGCCCTCTAGTGACTTCAATGCCAAATGGCATCTCATAAACATTCATGGAAATACGCCCTATAGTGACTTAAAAGCCAAATGGCGTCTCATAGATATTCATGCAAAAACGCCCTCTAGCGATTTCAATGCCTAATGGCATCTCATAAACATTCATGGAAATATGCCCTCTAGTGACTTAAATACTAAAATCGCGTCTCATAGACATTCATGCAAAAACGCTCTCTAGTGACTTAAATGCCAAATGGCATTTCAAAGACATGCATGCAAATTTGCCCTCTAGTGATTTCAATGCCAAATGGCATCTCATAAACATTCATGGAAATACACCCTCTAGTGACCTAAATGCCAAATGGCGTCTCATAGACATTCATGCAAAAATGCCTTCTAGTGAATTCAAAGCAAAATGGCATCTCAAACATTCATGGAAATACGCCCTCTAGTAATTGCAATACCAAATGGCATCTCATAAACATTCATGGAATAAGCCCTCTAATGACTTGAATGCCAAATGGCGTCTCATAGACATTCATGCAAAAACGCTCTCTAGTGACTTTAAAGCCAACTGGCTTCTCAAAGACATTCATGCAAATACACCCTCTAATGATTTCAATGCCAAATGGTATCTCATAAACATTCATGCAAATACACCCTCTAATGATTTCAATGCCAAATGGTATCTCATAAACATTCATGGAAATACGCCCTCTAGTGACTTAAAAGCCAAGTGGCGTCTCATAGACATTCATGCAAATATGCCCTCTAGACAAATGGGGGTTTATTTACTAAAGCTGGAGAGTCCAAAATCAGACTCCCTTCTGCATAGAAACCAATCAGCTTCCAGGTTTCATTGCCAAAGCTTCATTGAACAAGCTGAGGTTAGAAGCTGATTGGTTTCTATGCAGAAGGGAGTCTGATTTTGGACTCTCCAGCTTTAGTAAATAAACCCCATGGTGTCTCATAGACATTCATGCAAATATGCCCTCAAATGAACTGTTTTGCTACCTACAGATTAGCCGCTTTATTACGCCATTGATACATAATACCACCTCTCCTAAAACTCTAACCAGTTTCGAATCTCTTTATAAATCATCTGCTGCTACTAGAGGAGCCTTATCCTTTATTTATAAAGCCCTTCAAAACCATGTTTCTGAATCCTTACCCGCATACTGTGCTCAATTGGAAAAAGACCTACAAGAAACTTTAACACTAGTTCCTCTTCTGACGGTATTTTACCCCTGCGCGTATTGCAAAATATGTCCACGGATATGACGCCTCTTGTTTCAGAGAATGTGAGACCAAGGAAACTATGTACTATATATGGTGGTCTTGCCCAGTGACTCGCAGACTGTGGATATGTGTCTACTGCGTCACGCAGCTCAACTTATGGAAAAACCCAGCTGAGGCCCTTCTCATCAAATGGATCACGAAGGCTCCCCGGGGCTTCAATGCTTTAATTGCGTTCATCTTTATGGCAACAAAAACAAACCATAGCTTGTGCATTGAGGATTCCGGGGCTTCAATTTGAGGTCAAATCCAGAATTCAAGGTTTTCTTGTTAATGAAAAACTGATGGCAATACTAGAAGACAAACATGATACATTTCTCCCTATCTGGCAACCTTGGTTGGATTACCAACCCGTTTACCGCTTTACAACATGATTACTTCACCTCTGACCCTTGAACAACCAAGCTGCCTCTTTCTCCTGAAACTTCTTTCTTCCCCTTCTTACCCCTTTTGAGGGCAGAAGGGTGACTGCTACCACCTCATGGCAAACCCTCTCTCTTCTTTCCTCTCTCCCTTCCCTTTTCTGTGCCACTATTTGGTAAGATTCATAATAGGGCCCCCATACTTCACACTCCAGGGTCCTTTACATTTTTTTTTAGAAGTTAATCAAATTACTGGGAATACATAATATTTCACAACATTTAAACATCTCTTGTTGATCTGTTCCAACCCCACATTCACATTTCCACATTTACAATTTTTAAGTCCCACTTATTCATATTGTCGCTACTGTTTGCAGGTGTAGATCATGTGGACCAGGTTGCATGATCTTTTTCCAGAGATGTATCAGTTTAATCTTTGTCTGCTACTATGCTATCAATATATGGATTGTGATCTCTTTAGGTTTGTTTCATTGTTACTACTGCCAAATAGGCCCCTGCGCAGGCCCATACTTTCATTATATACTAAACAAGCCTCTTTCATTTGCCACACTTGCATTTCAATTTTGTAAAAGAACTCTTTCAATAAAGCTCTTTTGGTACCAGAAAAGTATGACAGTTCTGTTACTGTAGTGCAACTTTGATGTGACTTTACACTCTGGCATTCAAGTAGCATCCAAATTGTATCAAAGTCGTGAAGGAACTTTTATGTAACCAAAGTTGCATGTTAGGGTTAAGGGCTAGGGTTCGATGGTGGGGATATGGTTAAGAATTAGGTTTAGGGTAAAGGGCTAGAGTTAGGGTTGTTAGCCTCTCCATAGATACAGTGTAGTGAGTGTTCCCACCCTAGCATGGGTTGTGTATTACTGGCAGGATCATCAGTGAAAAATAAAAGGGAAAAACCCAGGGGGAAAAAGGGAAAACTAATGCAACTACCACATCAAAAAGTTTTGGCAAGTTCCAAGAAAATTACATTTATGTTCAGGAGCTCAGACACACTTTGAGATACAGTTGCAGCAATTAAAAAAAAAAACTTTTTGGACCATTTGCTGTTACAGGTAGTCTGGCTGAAAAAAGACAAAAGTCCATCCAGTTCAACCATTACAAAAAAAAAGTTATAATCCTATACCCACAGTTAATCCAGAGGAAGCCAAAAAAAAGCCCAGCAAAGCATGATCCATATTGCTCCTGCAGGGGAAAAAAATTCCTTCGTGATCCCCCCCAGAGGCAATTGGATATTCCCTGGATCAACTTTACCTATAAATGTTAGTATCCAGTTATATTCTGTGTATCTAAGAAAGAATCCCGGCCTTTTTTAAAGCAATCCACTGAGCTGACCAGAACCAATTCTTGAAGGAGTCTATTCCACATTTTCACAGCTCTTACTGTGAAGAAACCTTTACTTTTTTTTTAGATTAAATTTCTTTTTTTCCCCAGACGTAAAGAGTGCGCCCTTGTCCTCTGTGATGACCTCAGGGTGAATAACTCTACACCGAGTTCACTATATGAACCACTGATGTAATTTTCAGCAGCTCCTGTCTCGCTCTCAATCTGTCCTGCCTCCCGCTCTCCACTCTGTGTACCTATTAGCGGAGTTTGGGAGGCAGAGGACCTGGTTCTGAAGGATGAGGGAGTGGTGTGATTTTTGATGTGAATGTACAAAGAGCTCTACTTTGGGAGGCTGATGTAAAGAAAAAAGCAGAGCATGCAAACTTGTGCTTGTTGGGGGGGGGGGGGGATGGGATGTGAAGTGGGTAGAAAAGGACTATTGGGAGGGGTGATGTAAATGGGGCAATATCTGTACTGTGGGGGGGAAGGGGTGATGCAAAGAGGCACTGCTAGCACTGTATTGTTCCCTGGGGGTTTTAAAGTGTAGGGGGGGGAATTTCTATACCACAAGCGGTAACCCCGAGCTACAACTCGGGCTTACCATGGGGCGCTGCAAGGGGGTAATGTATTTGCAGCATCTTATCCCCTTGTCCTTCGCTCAAGAGAGAATGTAAAAATCCCCTGCAGCGTAAAAATTAAAATCTTTATTGAGGTCTGTCCCATCTTTGGCTACTGGTTCTTTTAGTAAAACAGTTACTTTCATTCAGCCCTCACGGCGGCGGTGAATGCCAAACGTCCAGCATGGTTTCAATTTTAAATAGTAATTCCAGTTGCAGAACACTGATACATAGCTAGCTTTGTTCACTGTATTCCTCTTTCTCAGAAAAAAAAGCCAATTCCAAAACAGAAAGCAAAGCTTTCTTTTTAGAGGAAAGAACAGCATGACATTTATGTGCCCTTCCTTTAGTCACGAAAATGCCTTGTATTTTCAAAAAAACACAACAAGTTTTTTTAATTTGAAAAAATGGTACCGCTTTCAGCAACGAGGAACCTGCTATGATCAGTGTAGGGAGGTTAAAGCAGGAACTACAAGTGTTCGATGTTTCCTCCACTGCAGGGTCCAAATGAAATCAGCAGTTTTACTGAATGGAATAGCAGCCATACATGCGATACCGATAATTATTTTTACACAAGTGGCCCAATTTTCTTTCCCCTAGAGTACAGCTTTAGGCTGATTCTGAGCTGTACTTGAGCAGACACTCTGAAGCCAAACAATAATCAAATAAAATCAAGCTCTATGTGGTTAATTACGATCAAATATATAACATTTCAACTCAATTTTTGTTCCAATAAAACAACAAAGTATAACTAACATCATAACTTTTTGTTTAGTTTTGGACAGAGTGGAAATGGATTAGAATACCTGTCAGGTTTTATGGTCTGCAACCCCATTAAGGAGATTCACCCTATTTGTCCTGTTTACCGTTATCGAAAGTGAAAGTAAAAGAAACCCACATTTTGGGTATTCCCCAGCAAAGTTATAAAGAGGACATTTTTCAATGGGGTCACTAGTTCTGGTGACCTGGGCGTCCCTAAGGAATTCCCTTAATTTTCATAATTTTCTCACTTCCTGTTTTGGCTATGGGACAGGAAGTGAATGTAAATCTCAATGGGACAACGATAGCAAAAAATAATCGGACAGGGGTTATATTCCTATCTTACTCTAGGCAATTGTTTTGTTTATTTTTTCATTTTGGATATAGTTCTACTTTAAAGTGTTACTAAATGCACAACAGTAAAACCAGTCTATATATGCAGTAAATCATGCTTGATATACTCCCTGTGGAACCTAAGAGGTTAATTCTCAGCATTGTGTAAAAAGGCTGTTTGATCTTGACTTCTCTGATCCTCCCCTTCTTCCAGTGTCCCCCTTTTATCTCCTGATAAGACATATCATGTGGCGTCACCCTGCACATGCTCAGTTTAGTGTGTATTGTTAGAGAGGTTTTTTTTTTTGCTTGGGAAAGTGCACGTGTTCAGCACAGGGCCAATCAGCACTGTCCAGACAGAGGTCAGGGGTTCTGCATCCTCCTAGAGCAGAAAGAAAACTCCTCTGACAAGCTTTAACATGTGCTCTGCTGGACACTGATAGAAGTCACAAGGCTGCTGTAATTGCTGATGAGAAAAGGTATGTCAGGAATGGACTTGTCAGTGGTGGTGGGACCCGCCTGCCTTGTGGGCTGCAGTACCAGGGCTGGCCAGCTGGTGCTCTCAGCAACCAGAGGCTCACTCCTACAATGAGCCATCACCTGAAGCTGATTACAGCAGGTGTATTTAAGGAATGGCCAGGCCTGTGATCAGGGCCTTGGTGTATGTTTCCCATGAGCCTCTGTACCTGCATCCTGTCTGCTTCCTGCCTGATCCTGATTCTGCTTTAATCCTGTCTGCATGAACTGTCCTGACCTCGGCTATTCCTGACTACGCTTCCGCCTGCTCCTTGTACCTTGCCTGCCCATTTGCTACTGACCCGGCCTGCCCGACTACGTTTAGTATTGTTCTTATTGTTATCTGTTGGAGGTTTGGTTGCACTGCGTTTATGTATTGTTTAGTCTTTACTAAATTGTATTGTTTATACTATACCTGGAGCCTGTGTTTCCCTGTGTCAGTCCACACATTTCTGGTCATACCCGGATCCCTAACAAGGTAATTATCAGTTTATATTTACTAAAATAATAGCACTTCCATGTTCTGTGTACTGTGGGAGACCAAATAGAGTGAATGCAGGGTCCTGGGTTTAGTAACACTTAAACCTCCCTGAAGGTATTCCCGAGTGTAGCTCGGGATAAAGTTTCAGTGCCAAAAGCGGTAACCCCAAGCTACACTCGGGAATACCCTGCAGCATTGCTCTGGGACCCCTTCTGCACTTACCTTGTCCTTCGCTCCCACGATATCCCCCCTCAGTGTCCCCGGCCATCTCCTCCGGCCGATGCCGGCATCCGTATTCCGGGGTTCCGTTCCCTGCGACGTCAGGACGTACGGGGAACGGAACCGGCGGGGAAATTTAAAAATGTCAAAAGGTGACATTCACTAAATACACTAAAATCACATAGTATAACATTACTGTATCAAACCATTTCACATACATTTTGTCCCTAGTGCTTTGTCCTGTGCCCTGCCTGCATATTTACTGTTCTTTCTGCCTGGAAACTGAGAAATGTCCATGGCATCCAAAAAGCGTCCCTTTAGGTTAAAAGTGGTTTTAGACCAGCTGGAGAACAGCGATAGTAAATTAGAACCACTTTCAGAATTGAGTGATGATTCGTGGGGAAATTCGTTATCATACACTGAAAACGATTTTACCACTTTGCTCCGTGATGTGCAAACTTGGCGCTCGATTTCAAATTTCAGTGTTTTTGGTTTGAGTATATTATTGAATTAAATGTATTATATTATTTTTTATGATTATTTATTAAAATATAATTTATGATTTCATGTTTCAAATTTTAACATGCGGGATGTTCTACTAGACTTGTTCGGACAGTTTTCAGCCAGTTATTGCTAAAAATTACAGGCCTACAATAAAAAAAAACATATTTCCATGCAAAAAAAGTACCGCTTTGAGCACAGAAATACTGACATAATCAGACCGCTAGGGAGGTTAAGTAAATCTCAAAGGAAAGTATTCATGAACTGTGTGAGGTGGAAAATGGCTGTGATGATGAATGACATCATTACAAAGTCATCACACAACCAACTTCTCAGCATAAGATGCTTCCTTCAAACTTGAGGAAAGTAAAAAATCTCTGTAAATTAAAACAAACCCTTAATATTTTTATTGGTGCAAAACATTAGGGAAAAGGCAATGTTTTTGTTAATTATTATTAAAACCAGGTCACCATTTTATATAAAAGCAGAAAACTTTTTTTCAAAACACTGTACTTCTACAAATATACTAATATACAAATACATTAAAAAAAAAAATATTTACACTTTTTCCTAGAACATACATATTGACAGCCTCAAGTGTTTTAATGCGATATTACATTTCAAGTTTTATTTTACAAGCAATTCATTAGTTACTTCTACAATCTTGGAGACATGTCCAACATACTGAATCTATGTATTTCAGCAGTAGCCACAAGCGGACACAATTCTGCCGCACAGTATTGCAATGCTAACAGGTGGGGGGATTTACTACACTAAAGCTTGACTCATAAGTGCATCCCTCACCTTCTCTAATACAATGGAATTATACCTGACACACTGACCACTTCTTAATTGTGCATTTGTTTGCAGTGAAGATCTGTCATATATGCGTTAAAAAAATCTGTTGAAGCTGGCTGCCTAGGATTCTGCGTGTAGGGGTTGCAAATACATGTGCAAATTATTTGCTAAATGAGAGGCTGCCCAATCTGTGTCCAAATGTCACTATTTTGCTTGATAAATGTCCTGCACAGAATTAAAAAAAGAAGAGCAAAGCAAGTGCAAATGACTGAGACAAACAGTTTATAGTGGTGGTTTTATGGGATTGCAATTTTATAGAGATTTAAAGGTAGCTATGCTGCAAGAGCTTCTATACCATCTGAAAGCTGAACACTGTTAAAGTAAGTTAAAGGGGCTTTGGGACTTTTTACCTTTAGTCCACTTGGTGGAAAAGCCCTTTAATGTGGATACAATTATAACGGATAGGGCAACTGTTGCCCCTTCCCTTAAAGTGGTTGTAAACCCTTACATATACCCAGTGAAGTGACTAGCCTCAAGTGATGCACAGATGAAACAAATCTTACTACATACGTTGTATCTGATTATTTGCAGCTCTTTCTCCTTTATAATTTATTCAAAGTGATTAATTTATACAGTTTGTCTGAGCTTTCAGAAAACAGGGTCAGGTAGCTGAAGTTACACTCAATGAGGAGATCTGGTTGGGGGGGGGGGGGGGAGGGGAGGGGAGGGAAGGGACACCCCCCCCCCCCAACACACAGGAACAAAGCTGAGCTTGTCAATCACAAGCTGTGTGCTGGAAATCCCTCCCCATCACCTTTTTATTTCTTGGTGTCAGACCTGACTCATGCAGATAACAGAGGAAAGAGGCAGCAGACAGAAATGACATTTAGTGCACTGAATTGAGATGAGTACAAACTATAGAAAGACATGCTTCAGGGGTTTCAGAAGTTTACAACTACTTAAACTGTTGGGAGCAAGACTATTGAAGTACTACAGGGCTAGCTGCAATCAGATTTTTGAAGCCTAACACAAGCTGGCCTCATAAAACCCTTTGCAGTTCAGTTGGTTTTATTGGCTAAGCTGGCCTACATTAGGAAGAGCAAAGCAGTAGTGTCTTCAGATCTGCATAGAGCTTTGCTCCAAAAAAAAAAAAAAAAAAACTTGATAAATAAAATCAAATCAGTGTTCAAATGCATTGCATATATTCTTTAAATAACATACACTACATTGCCAATAGTATTGGGACACTTGCTTTTACACACACATGAACTTTAATGGCATCCCAGTCTTAGTCCGTAGGGTTCAATATTGAGTTGGCCCACCCTTTGCAGCTATAAAAGCTTCAACTCTCCTGGGAAGGCTGTCCACAAGGTTTATGAGTGTGTCTATGGGAATGTTTGACCATTCTTCCAGAAGCACATTTGTGAAGTCAGGCGCGGATATCGGACAAGAAGTCCTGGCTCTCAGTCTCCGCTCTAATTCATCCCAAAGGTGTTCTATCGGGTTGAGGTCAGGACTCAATGGTATGTTGACGCCTTAAGAGTTTCCTTCAATGGAACTAAGGGGCCAAGCCCAAACCCTGAAAAACAACCCCACACCATAACCCCCCTCCACCAAACTTTACACTTGGCACAGTGCAGTCAAGCAAGTACCATTCTCCTCCCCAGACAGAGAAGTGTGATTCATCACTCCAGAGAACACGTGTCCACTGCTCTAGAGTCTAATGGTGGCGTGCTTTACACCACTGCATCAGACGCTTTGCATTGCACTTGATGTAAGGCTTGGATGAAGCTGCTCAGCCATGGAAACCCATTTCATGAAGCTATCTACACCCTGTTGTGCTAATCTGAAGTTTGGAGGTCTTTAGCTAATGACTGTGCAGACAGTTGGCGACTTCTGCGCACTGTGCGATTCAGCATGTGCTGACAACGCTCTGTCATTTTAAGTGACCTACCACATCGTGGCTGAGTTGCTGATCTTCCCAGTTGCTTCTACTTTGTTATAATACCACTAACAGTTGACCGTGGAATATTTAGTAGCAAGAAAATTTCATGGATGGACTTATAGCACAGGTGGCAACCTATCACGGTACCACACTTGAATTCACTGAGCTCCTGAGAGCGACCCATTATTTCACAAATGTTTGTAAAAGCAGTCTGCATGCCTAGGTGCCTAACTTTATACTTCTGTGGCCATGGAGGGGATTGGAACACCTGAATCCAAAGATTTGGGAGGGGTGTCCCAATACATTTGGCAATATAGTGTATGTGGATGAGGTAAACTAAGGTCATTATAAACCAAAAGAAAAAAAAAATTAAAATACAATGTTTCTGTTCATTTGTATGTATAAAATTACTATGCCATCAGCTATTGTGTGATAATGCATTTCACAATAAATAAAATCCAAGTCTTTTTAATCTTGGTGTAAAAACATTTTGTCCTAAAGTGCAGTGCTTTAATAAGAAAATCTTCAGTAGGTCGGACATCTTTTTTTTCCAAACACACATTACAGACACTGTTTTATACCTTAATGGACAAGTTCACTTTTAGTTAAATAAAAATTCACCACCCTCCGTAGCCCCCTAACCTAAATTAACCAAGAAACCCCCTTAACCAGCTGCATAATTACCTCAGGCACAGAGCTGGGCCTCCGCCAGGCCGCACACTTCCTCTATTCCTCATAGACTTAACTGAGCCTTGGTCACAAAGTCTCCAGTCCTGGAGATGCATCTAATGCTAACGTTTTCTGCATATAGAATGTAAAGAGCAGATGAGCGTGCAGGCATCGTGCCATGCTGAGGTAAGTTAAAGTGATTGTGAACCCTCGCCTTGTAAAACAACCCATTCAGTTTAAAATAGAAATGAAAGGCAAAACATTTGTGTATAGATATTAAAAAAACCCATTATACAAATAAACATTATAAATACCCTTTTTTTTTTTCTATAAGTGATCACATACCCTCTGTTCTCAGCTGCATAAGACATGGGGAAGGAGACACACAGGGATATTCCCAGTTAAAAGAAGTGCAGGGGGTGGAGTGTCAGGACAAGCCTGATCATTGGAGGAGAGCACACTGAGTTCCCAGCACAGCTAGAGAACTGACCACACCATGCTCAACTACCTAGAATGGCCAGTTTTTAGGATCCATGCACACTGGGCGTTTTAATAACGCTGGTAATGTTAGCTTTGTAAAGTCACATTAATAACGCAGGTTTTTCAGCATTTTTGCATTAGCGTTTAGTGACGTTTTTTAGAGGGTTTTTTTTTTTTGGTCAAAAAAACAGCCAAAGTTCTGGTTTTTTTTTCAGCCAAAAAATGCCCCTGCCAAAAAAGCGGATTACAGTCTATGAGTGCATGGACACATAGGATAACATGCTGGGGAGTTTACTGGCTGTAGAAGAAAACGTCAAAAGCCAAAAAACAGCAGCTGTACAAACGTCCAGTGTGCATGAGGGCTTAATAGGAAAGCAAAGTGACTGCCAGGAACACCAGGAATTTCAATACAAAGAGAACAGGATAGTTTTTCATACAAGTACATGGTACAGAAGGTACTTATCAGGAATATGAAATGTTGGGTTTACATATTCTTTAACAGCTGGATGGGAAGTTTCTAGGCTAGGGGACTAGATTTCTACATCTTGCGCTAAAACTACTCTTGTCCTTTAAGCATGTAACAGGGGGTACGATCAGGATCTCCTTATGCACCTAGAAATATTTTGTAACCTTTTATTACATTAGTTACACTTGCACATATATAAAGGTTCATCAAAAAACAAATGCAAAGTTCCTTTACAGTTTATAAAAATAGAACAAAGCCATCTCAGCTTCTCCGATTCTGAATCTTCACTGAGACACCTCAGCCTTCAGATTTATTAACTTGATTCTTATCTACAGCAATGAACACTGCACAAACTACTGCCGAGATAGACAGATGTATCACTTCATAGAGCAACTTTGGAGAAAAAACACTCCATATAAACAAGTGGTAACGAAGAGCTGTCACCAGAAGAATGTACACTGTGACCGGTAGGGAGCGAATTATTGCGTAGCAGTAACAACCATGAGCAACAGAAGTGGAATTCCTGGAAGAGAGCAAGGTTAAGTTGGTTATTACTTTTAGTTAGATCACCAACATAGCAGACAGTACAGAAATGCATTATTCTGACACACATTCTTTTTTTTCCCCCATTTGATCATGATCAATGAATGTAATGAATAAATATTAATGCATTTAAAAAGTGTGCATGCGTATATATATATATATATATATATATATATATATATATATATATATATATATAAATAAACACACACACTGCTCAAAAAAATTAAAGGGACACTTTGAAAACATATCAGATCTCAATGGGGAAAAAATATCATGCTGTATATCAATACTGATATGAACTGGGTGATGTGTTAGGAATGTAAGGATGCCACATCGTTTGATGCAAATGAAAATTATCAACCTACAGAGGACTGAATTCAAAGACACCCCAAAAATCAAAGTGAAAAAATTATACAACAAGCTAGTCCATTTTGCTGAAATTTAATTGCAGCAACTCATAATGGTACTCAGTAGTTTGTATGGCCCCCACGTGTTTGTATGCAAGCCTGACAACGTTGGGGCATGCTCCTAATGAGATGGATGGTGTCCTGGGGTATTTCCTCCCAGATCTGGACCAGGGCATCATTGAGCTCCTGGACAGTCTGAGGCGCAACCTGGCGGCATCCTGATACCTAATGGCAGTCAGGGTACCATTTAGTCCAACTGTTATTCAGCATCTCTGTGTCAAAGAAAACCCAATAGTGCAGATGTTTTCTATTAGAAAATTCTTCCTTCTTTCACAAGTGTTTTTTAACTTTCGGGGGAGAAAGTATAATTTGGCATCTGGGGTTATCACTTATTATATTAGCATTTAGTAGCATACCGATACATTTACTTACTAGTCAGGGTACCATTGTCTAGCCTGTAGAGGTCTGTACGTCCCTTCATGGATATGCCTCCCCAGACCATCATTGACCCACCACCAAAATGGTCATGTCAAACGATGTTACAGACAGCATAACAATCTCCATGGCTTCTCCAGACCCTTTCACGTCTGTCATATGTGCTCCAGGTGAACCTGCTCTCATCTGTGAAAAGCACAGGGCGCCAGATGCAGATGAAATTCATTAACAACCCCCTCTGCTACTTAAATGACCAGATCAATATCCCAGGAGTTCAATTGACTTGATGCTATACTCTGATTAAAAAGAGTGTTCCTTTAATTTTTTTGAGCAGTGTGTAATCTCCACTGTTATTACAGCATGCCTTTCATTAGAAAAATATTTAACCTGTCGTTGCTGGCCTTCTTCTTGACGGTGTTTGGCTTCAACAGTTTCGGCTCAGCAACAAAAAACCCAGAGCATTTGAAAGGAACCCATACCTGGAATTGTTGGGTATTTAGCTTGCCTCCAAACAGCTGAATAGAGCAGTGAGGGAAAGAAGAAACAATGAGCATATGTTGTTGGGTATGGGGGAGTTTAGTGACCCCTTTTTGTGTCCTGCGTGTATGTCCACTCCATTTTATGCGTGCTGTAAAGGAGATGGGCAAACAGCCTTCACTGCCTGGACAAGCAACGACTCCAGAGTCTGTATACTCCAGTAGAGCAATGGCAGACATACAGGAGGATAATGTAATACTGTAAAGGAGGGAAGCTGTAAGAGGGTAATGCAACACTTTAGGAGTAGAGATGATAGAGAGGTGTTACATGAGTCATGAGGGTATAAAGCTGAATGTACAGAGGAAGCCTCCAGTACGGCTGACTGAATACAGAAGGTGTTCTTCTGCAAAACAGAGCTGGGAGGGTAAACTGAACACAGAGAAAGACAGCAAACAGGGAGTTTAAGAATACCCAAAGCCAAACGGGTGCAAGAAGACTTCAGGATTGCTGATGGGAAGCTTGAAATGCTTCACAAACAATGCTGAATATAAAGAAAGGTCACTTAGCAGTAGACACAATGTGCACATATTTGTAAAAAGGAGGACATAAAAGTTTTCTATAGGCAGAAGTGGTGTATGGAGGTCATGACAGAGGGAAGTATGTGTAGAGCAGCATTGTGGAGGGTATGACAGTGACTGGCAGGAGTACTGCACATTTGCTTTCTTGCCATCTTCAGTTTCTTTGTTATGCTACAATTTAACTTGCTAAAGTATAATTTACAGTGTCATTAGAGATGGTTATACATGAAAATTCCAGTATATCAGCAGTTTATGAAATATTCACACCAGCCCTTCTGGCACCAACAACCATGCCACACTCAGTCACCTAAACCCCCCTTTTTTCCTCATTCTATGCTTGGTTTGAACTTCAGCGAGTCGTCTTCACCATGTCTAGATGCCTAAATGCATTGAGTTACTGTCATGTGATTGGCTGATTAGCAATTTGTGTTACCAAGCAATTGAACAGATGTACTTAATAAAGTGGCGGGTGAGTGAATATAGAATAATAGATATTAAACATGGAAGCTATAGAGTATATGAGTGTATGACACTTTAGTGTATTTTTAATAAAAATATTGAGCATTGATATTTTTTGCATTCCATGTGTCTTTTGCATTAAAAAAATACTATGATTCCAGAGGTCCTAAGCAGTTTTTCCAAGTCTATAATGTGCATTTTATTGTGTATATGAAAGGAAAAACTGAGCAGACAGCAAAGGGGAAAAACAGGATGGTTAACATCAGCTGCTTTTCAGTGCTATGGTGCCAGCCTAATAAATCTCAGAGTCCAACATTGTTGAACGCAAACTCCATAGGTACGCAAAGAACCCCAACCAATGAGTCATGCTTCAGAAATTCTGCTTTAAACAACAGTCCATGTGACCCATGTTGTAAAAGAAGGGAATCACACCACTACAATGGCATTTCACATTTCTTAATACCTGAGATATTTTTCTATAATTGCATAAAAAGTATATTTACCAGTTAGTTTCAGCACTGAGGTGATAAAGCAGGTGCATAGTCCAAAGGAGGGGCCCGCTATATGTCACAAAAACAGTTAGGAAAATAGCTGGATACTCAACATAGTTATCTAGTCCCACAAAGCCAGCCGATATATCTACAGTACTTATAGTATTTGAGTTACCCTGAAAAAAAGTAAAAAGGATGCAAAAAAAAAAACAAATTAAAGAGATTCTGTATAAAACACACAGGTATTATTAAACTTTTGCGTTAGCAGCTGGTTTATATTATACATATGTTTTGCTGTAACACCAGACATATATATATATATATATATATATATATATATATATATATACATATATACACACACACACACACACACACACACACACACACACACACACACACACACACAGTGGGGATCGAAAGTTTGGGCACCCCAGCTAAAAATTTGTATTAATGTGCATAAAGAGGCCAAGGAAAGATGGTAAAATCTCCAAAAGGCATCAAATTACAGATTAGACATTCTTATAATATGTCAAAAGTTAGATTTTATTTCCATCATTTACACTTTCAAAATAACAGAAAACAAAAAAATGGCGTCTGCAAATGTTTGGGCACCCTGCAGAATTTATAGCATGCATTGCCCCCTTTGCAAAGCTGAGACCTGCCAGTGTCATGGATTGTTCTCAATCATCGTCTGGGAAGACCAGGTCAATCTCAAAGGTTTTAAATGCCCAGACTCATCTGACCTTGCCCCAACAATCAGCACCATGGGTTCTTCTAAGCAGTTGTCTAGAAAACTGAAAATAGTTGACGCTCACAAAGCTGGAGAAGGCTATAAGAAGATAGCAAAGCGTTTTCAGATGTCAATATCCTCTGTTCGGAATGTAATTAAGAAATGGCAGTCATCAGGAACAGTGGAAGTTAAAGCAAGATCTGGAAGACCAAGAAAAATATCAGACAGAACAGCTCGCAGGATTGTGAGAAAAACAATTCAAAACCCACGTTTGACTGCACGATCCCTCCAGAAAGATCTGGCAGACACTGGAGTTGTGGTACACTATTTCACTATAAAGAGATACTTGTACAAATATGGTCTTCATGGAAGAGTCATCAGAAGAAAACCTCTTCTACATCCTCACCACAAAAATCATCGTTTGAACTTTGCAAATGAACATATAGACAAGCCTGATGCATTTTGGAAACAAGTTCTGTGGACCGATGAGGTTAAAATTGAACTTTTTGGCCGGAATGAGCAAAGGTACGTTTGGAGAAGAAGGGGCACAGAATTGAATGAAAAGAACCTCTGTCCAACTGTTAAGCATGGGGTTGGATCAATCATGCTTTGGGGTTGTGTTGCAGCCAGTGGCACAGGGAACATCTCACGAGTAGAAGGGAAAATGGATACAATAAAATTTCAGCAAATTTTGGATGGTAACTTGATGCCATCTGTGAAAAAGCTGAAGTTAAAGAGAGGATGGCTTCTACAAATGGATAATGATCCTAAACACACCTCGAAATCCACGGGGGATTACATCAAGAGGCGTAAACTGAAGGTTTTGCCATGGCCTTCACAATCTCCTGACCTCAACATAACTTAAAAGAGCAGTGCGTGACAGACAGCCCAGAAATCTCAAAGAACTGGAAGACTTTTGTAAGGAAGAATGGGCAAAGATACCTCAAACAAGAATTGAAAGACTCTTGGCTGGCTACAAAAAGCATTTACAAGCTGTGATACTTGCCAAAGGAGGCAGTACAAGATATTAACTCTGCAGGGTGCCCAAACTTTTGCAGACGACATTTTTTTGTTTTCTGTTATTTTGAAAGTGTAAATGATGGAAATAAAATCTAACTTTTGTTGACATATTATAAGAATGTCTAATCTGTAATTTGATGCCTTTTGGAGATTTTTCCATCTTTCCTTGGCTTCTTTATGCACATTAATACAAATTTTTAGCTGGGGTGGCCAAACTTTCGATCCCCACTGTATATATATATATATATATATATATATATATATATATATATATACACACACACATATATATATACACATACATGAAAATTAAAGTGGTTCTAAAGCCTAAACATTTTTTACCTTAATGCATTCCTTGCATTTAGGTAAAAAAAAAGTTTAGACATCGGTATTGGCCCCTCATACCTCCTTATACTTACAGTGGGGCAAAAAAGTATTTAGTCAGCCACCAATTGTGACAATCACATTGGCTGATTTGGAAAGAATTTATTTGCAAATTATGGTGGAAAATAAGTATTTGGTCACCTACAAACAAGCAAGATTTCTGGCTCTCACAGACCTGTACCTTCTTCTTTAAGAGGCTCCTGTGTCCTGCACTCATTACCTGTATCAATGGCACCTGTTTGAACTTGTTATCAGTATAAAAGACACCTGTCCACAACCTCAAACAGTCACACTCCAAACTCCACTATGGTAAAGACCAAAGAGCTGTCGAAGGACACCAGTAACAAAATTGTAGACCTGCACCAGGCTGGGAAGACTGAATCTTCAATAGGCAAGCAGCTTGGTGTGCACAAATCAACTGTGGGAGCAATAATTAGAAAATGGAAGACATACAAGACCACTGATAATCTCCCTCGATCTGGGGCGCCACGCAAGATCTCACCCCGTGGGGTCAAAATGATCACAAGAACAGTGAGCAAAAATCCCAGGACCACATGGGGGGACCTAGTGAATGACCTGCAGAGAGCTGGGACCAACGTAACAAAGGCTACCATCAGTAACACACTACGCCGCCAGGGACTCAGATCCTGCAGTGCCACACGTGTCCCCCTGCTTAAGCCAGTACATGTCCGGGCCCGTCTGAAGTTTGCTAGAGAGCATTTGGATGATCCAGAAGAGGATTGGGAGAATGTCATATGGGCAGATGAAACCAAAATAGAACTGTTTGGTAGAAACACAACTCGTCGTGTTTGGAGAGAGAATGCTCAGTTGCATCCAAAGAACACCATACCTACTGTGAAGCATGGAGGTGGCAACATCATTCTTTGGGGCTGTTTCTCCGCAAAGGAACCAGGACGACTGATCTATGTACAGGACAGAATGAATGGGGCCATGTATCGTGAGATTTTGATTGCAAACCTCCTTCCATCAGCAAGGGCATTGAAGATGAAACGTGGCTGGGTCTTCCAACATGACAATGATCCCAAACATACCGCCCGGGCAACGAAGGAGTGGCTTCGTAAGAAGCATTTCAAGGTCCTGGAGTGGCCTAGCCAGTCTCCAGATCTCAACCCCATAGAAAACCTTTGGAGGGAGTTGAAAGTCCGTGTTGCCCAGCGACAGCCCCAAAACATCACTGCTCTAGAGGAGATCTGCATGGAGGAATGGGCCAACATACCAGCAACAGTGTGTGCCGACCTTGTGAAGACTTACAGGAAACGTTTGACCTCTGTCATTGCCAACAAAGGATATATAACAAAGTATTGAGATTATCTTTTGTTATTGACCAAATATTTATTTTCCACCATAATTTGCAAATAAATTCTTTCCAAATCAGCCAATGTGATTGTCTGGATTTTGTTTCTCATTTTGTCTCTCATAGTTGAGGTCTACCTATGATGCCAATTACAGGCCTCTCATCTTTTTAAGAGGGAGAACTTGCACAATTGGTGGCTGACTAAATACTCTTTGCCCCACTGTACCTGTGCCCTCATTCTATCCAGCGCTGTGCAAGTCTGCATCTCTTCTCTTCCCTCACTTCTATTGGCTCCCACTGCTGTCACTCTAGTGAGGTCGGAGCAGGGGGGAAATGAGTCCTGCTGTCTGTGTCATCAGACGCAGCAGTGGAGCTCAGGAGCAGGCCCGCATGACTGCATCCATGGGAAGCGGCTTCCTATTGAGAGCACCAGCCATAGAGAAGGAACCAGGCATGATAGTGGGGGACACGAGAAGAGAAGGTTCAGGCCCACTCTGTGCAATTCTTTTGCAGCGTAGGTAAGTTTAGACATATTTCTTTTTTTTTCTTTTTTTTAATTCCTTTACAACCACTTTAACACTAAAGTTTACACCAAGATAACCCTATTATGTATTATTTCTGTAAAAGTACAGGGTTTCTATTGCAACCTACCCCACCACTGCGCCATGGTTTACACTTTTACCAACTAATTCTTGTATCTCCCAAATATGAAAGTAAAAGTAAAGTGATATTAAACGCTCAGTTTAAGCACTTTCAGCATATGATATACTCACAGAGTATGCAGCTTCTTTATCTTCTAATCCTTGCCTATGTTGCAGTTGATCTGCAGATAGATGACCATTTTTTCATGACACTAGTAAAAAACTGAGGCAGGCTTCAAGTGTGAGGAGTCATACTGGGCTGTCTTTACAGGTTTGTTTAGCTAATGCCAAATCTCCTGAAGACAGCAGCAAAACCCAATGTACCTGAATACTAAATCATACACTACATTACCCAGGATAAGAAAGGGAGATTTGAAGTGAGAAATATGTCATGTGGGAGAGATATCAATTCTGTTTTCCATCTGGTTATAACAACCTCCAATACCCACACTTTGGATATGTGGAGAACAGTTATCAGGATATTTTTGAAACCCACCCTTGCCCCTAACCCAGACATCTTGCTGGTCAAAGATGGGGACAAATTTTCATACCATCATGGACTTCTAGGCTGCAATGTTTTTAAGATGGAAAAGTAGGATGAGGCCTTCTTCTCAGAAGAACATCTTGGCCACTGACTGGGAAAGATGACTGCTCTTTTACCCTGTTACGTCCTTGATCATTTTGCCCAACGTTTTCTCAAATGGGCATGAACCTGTAACTGCCAATGCCACAAGGGACTTTTTGGAAACATGGTCTGCAGACCAGCACTTTTTAGTTCAATAGTTGCAAAGCTAATGGGAAAGATGCAGTGAGTCAAATCCAGCAAGGCATCATATAGGGACTTGCCGTTATTAAACTATCTGGTCCAGCCAATCACAAAGGTATTAAGTTGATCCCTTTGTACTTAAATCCTGATGCAGGACACTAGCCCACACAGCAGAAGTCAGAGTCACCCAGAGATAAACAAACTTTGGCTTGAGAAGAGAATCCGTGTGAGTCAAGAATTTAGCAAGGTTTTCCATCTTTTTGTCCTCTGGGTCCTTAATGGGTGCACAATCTGTCACCAGGGTGATCTTCGTCCCA